GTATTACTCTGCATTAAAAAATGACAAAATCATAGAATTTACAGGGAAATGGATGGCATTAGAGCAGATTATGCTAAGTGAAGCTAGCCAATCCCTAAAAAACAAATGCCAAATGTCTTCTTTGATATAAGGAGAGTAACTAAGAACAGAGTAGGGTCGAAGAGCATGAGAAGAAGATTAACATTAAACAGGGATGAGAGGTGGGAGGGAAAGGGAGAGAGAAGGGAAATTGCATGGAAATGGAAGGAGACCCTCAGGGTTATACAAAAGTACATACAAGAGGAAGTGAGGGGAAAGGGAAAAATAATACAAGGGGGACAAATGAATGACAGTAGAGGGGGCAGAGAGAGAAGAGGGGAGGGGAGCGGAGGGGAGGGGGGATAGTAGGGGATAGGAAAGGCAGCAGAACACAACAGACACTAGTATGGCAATATGTAAATCAATGGATGTGTAACTGATGTGATTCTGCAATCTGTATATGGGGTAAAAATGGGAGCTCATAACCCACTTGAATCAAAGGGTGAAATATGATATATCAAGAACTATGTAATGTTTTGAATAGCCAACAATAAAAAATTAAAAAAAATAATAAATACAGAATGCAAACAAATTACTTATCTAATGGTACAAAACTTGAAGCAGTCTTTACAAAGGGAAGCTATTTAATTTTATTGCTTTAATGGAACCTTAAATGTATGAAGACATTCTTAATATTTTCTTCAATATCCACAACTAATAATGCTTTAAATGAAATCTTGTGTTATTGTAAAAGATATCACTGGAAATCAAACTTGCTCCCACAATAAGATAGGAAAGTTCTTTCAAATGTCCCTATTTTATGACTGAATCCAGTAAGAGTTTTAGAAAAGGCTAAAAAAGACACTCACGTGCTTTCCTGGTGAAGGTCTCAATCACATCACTTGGGGGGCCACACCCTGCACTATTGCAGGCTCCAACCTCCACAAAATACTGAGTGTCAGGCAGAAGATTTTCCAATCTGGCTGAGTACTCTTGACTGGTGACCTGAACTCGGTGTGCAGCTGCTTCTTTGTCATGGGCGGCCCAATACCGAATCTGCAAACATTGAAGAGTAGTAATATTTTTACCATAACCCAGATTCTTCAGTTGCGAAAGTTCTTTTCCATTGGTTCTGTTACACTGATGTTGGTTGAGTATCATATTCTCAAGTGTTACATTACAGTCTTACCTTTTTGTCAGTCTTAGAAAATGGCAAGGTACATATGCAGTTCTGATGAAAGCATCAGGAACAAATCAAAGCCTCACTTCATTGGTTGAAGAAGTTTTTACACTGACCAAAATGAGACATAGAGAAACCAGATTTCTACACATATGACTTTATCTTCAGTCTATAAAAGTGATCTCCTTGGAAATAATTGCCACAATATTTTTTATCATTTATTTCCTGCTTTATTTCTGTTATGTGGTTTCAGACTTGTTATGAGTCACTGATAAAGCAATTTAACAGGAGTACAACTTTGTTTGACAAAAGCAGTCAATATGTGGCCTAAAATATGCCCGAGTAATCTTTCTTCTAGTTTCTTTCAAAGTTTGCATGTAAAATTGTTTCCTTCCAACCCTTATACATGAATCATAAAGAAATATACCAGATAACTTGATAAGCTTTATAAACTTAAAATAATTTTAAAAAATTTGTCCATGTTATGATTAGAAATAATGACTTCTGCCAAAGGATTATAGTCTTCCTGTCTCTTAGTTTAAGAAAATTTATAAATTATAATTTAGATTCTTCAAATATAGGCTTTTTGGGGGAGAGGGCACAGTAATCTATAATTATACCTAAAGTTTAAGTAAAAAAATAGTTGTTTATAAATATGTTGGTATTTTATATATTATAGATTCCCATTTATAAAATTATGAGATTTTAATTTCACAATTAGTTCAAAATCCTAGATAAAAAATATCTAACATTAAAAGAATCCTGAACTTTTCATTCACATAAATACATATGAAATCATATAAAATGGAACAGGGTGATCCAAATTCAAGATGCAAGAGCCCAAAATAAGCTTTATATGTAGAATAAGTAAATTTCTGAATAAGATTACTGTTTATTTATTCCTCTGTAATGTTTTTATTTTGTTTACTAATGCTAAACTTTTCTGATACAATAGTGTATTTTCTAATGACTGTAACAGACACTCCTTGTCATTTTCATCATCAGACCAGAAGGGTATTCTCAGACTGAGAAAGGTAAACAGAGGTTGCAAAAGCAGCTGTTAGCTGGCAGAAACTTACTGGTCTTCTATATGGGACAAGAGTCTTCTGGTGGAGGCCTGGGTTTCTCAGGCTCTAAGAACACTCATCTGAGCAGAAGCAAAAGGCCTCCATCTAAGTGAGTGGTTAAGCCAGACAATACATAAGGCCTATTCCTTACTAAGCAGAAGAGAAATAAAATGAACATTTAGGTTCTAAGGAAATGCCAGGCACTACATTAGGATCATCCACACACACTGTCTTCTCAACAAACATCTGATGGTAGAATTTATCCCATCTTACAGGAACTACAATGAAGGCCCCCATGATTCCTGAATTTTTATAAGTGTGCTTATTGACTGAGATGCATACCACATTTTAAAACATCTTTCCTTTAGAAGAACCCAGTTTAAAGAGGAGAAGCTTTTAAACTAGATGACTATAATGAAAGCAATTTCTATGTTTTATATTAAAATGAGTCATCTTCTTCAAATTTCATGATACATTTGGCACAACAAAAGGAAACAAAAAAAACTTCTTAATGTATTCTTTGTAAATTATCCTGAATGACCAATTCCTTTATTCCTCTGACTCTGGCAGGAATCTGTGTAATAACAGTCTCCACTGAAACTCATGGCCAATCGAAGCAGTGACTTAGCATTCCCTTGTAACTTGGGAGCAGAAAGAATCACTGAGTGTGCCAAGTAGTACTCCCTTATTTCCTAGTTTCCAAATATGAGGGTTATATAGCATTTTCACATGTATACTCAACCTTTACAAATAAAAAACCTGACACAGAATGATTTGTTTGCATAATCAGCCTCTTCTTAAGTATATATGAACATATTTATGACTTATGTTTTCAAATAATTCTAAAATAAATAGAAGTGGATGGATATGTGTAAAATATGGCATTATGATTTCTGTCTGAACTAGATGCTGACTATGAAATTGGAATGAATTTCCAAGTAGATGATAAGTTTGGTCTCTTGCATCTTGATCTTCATGCTGAGTTTTTCATTGTGGTGAAGAAACAACATTAATTTGTGTGAAAATTTGTTTGGCAGGGAGTGGGCGGGGGCTACAACCTGAACCATAAAATAGAACAAATGTAATGCTCTTGGCTAATCAGTAGGGAGACCAAAAGAGACTCTATATGAATTAATGGGAGGTTACATTATCATTATCAGAAAAGCAAGGAAGTAAATAAACAAAGCAGGTCCACACTTTTTTGATAGTTGACCTTAAATTTCATTTTCATTTGCTGGAGTAACAAAAGTTGTATTTAATTTTTTAAATATTTATTAATACATTTCAATTATATAGAATATTGGGTGTCATATTCATACATGCATAAAACATATTTTGATTATTGCTATCCCACTACTACCCACCCTCCACCACCCCTCCTCACCCTCCACCACCCCTCCCATATCCCCCAATTCCCCTCCTCATCACTAAGCCTCCCTTCTATATTCTTGTTGTCTATTTTTTTCTAGATTTCACATATGAGAGAAAACATGTGATTCTTTCTGAGTTGTATATTTATTTCTATTTAATGCATGGCATTTAACGCTTATCTACATGTTGTTAAAAGCCCCACCATACTCAGTGTCTAGTGCTTACTCATAATAGCATATTAAACCATTATAGAATTGCCTCATTACTTGTCTCTCTGCTCGTATAGATTATAAGCTTAGTGATGGGAAGTGTATTATTTTTGAACACATTATATGCTAAAATTGAGAACTAAAAAGTGTGTGTAGGACTTTGTTTTACCTGTGGTACTTACTCATTCATTGAACAAATATTCATTAGATTCCCAGTTTGTACCAGATAATGTACTAAATGCTGATCATGCAGTAGAGAACCAAAGAAATGTGTTCACCTTCATATTTCTTATTTAAAAGTTAATCAAGGAATAAAAGTGCTTAAGTTCATATATAATTATTAAAATAATTGATAGATCAGTGTTTAATTTTGTTTCAAGAAAATTTGTACTCTTCATAAAAGTATTAAGAAGCGAAAAAAAGCCTCAGAAAAAAACTAACTCCTATTTTCAATAAGGAATAATTGTAATAAATTTATGAGCTACAATAATGTCACAAAATAGTGACAATAGTGTTACAAAAGCAACAATTATATCCCTTCTACACCTTTGTGAAGTTCTCCTACACTTTTGTGAAGCTTTACTTAGGGGAGATACAGACTAAGACAGATGCCTTCTCCAAAATAAGAACATGAAGCACTTCCTAAACATCAGTTTGTGCTCACTCAAAAAAGCAACAATTATATCCCTTCCCAGAAAAAAAACGAGAAATTTGTAAGAAAAGCAGCCCTTTAACCTCATTTACTTCAAAGAGAATCAGAATAAAATAATACATGCTACCAATTATGGAGTGCTTGAAGATATTTAACATTTCCAAAAACTAGCTTTGTATCATTTTATTATTTGCTACTTCTGTAAACTTTCATATCAATTTCCAAGTTCCCTCCTTTAAATCGCAAATTTTATCTATCCAAAAGTAATCGCTGACATGTGAATATTCCTCTACTTAATATAAGAATCAGTATCTTTTTACTAAAAAAAAAAAAAATCTACATATGATATTTAAGTGGAAAAAATAAGAGTAACCAAAAAGGACTAAATTTCTAAAGAGATATGATGACTTTAAATTATCCAGGTCCCAGATCAAGTATTAGCACACTTTATGACTATGAATGGCAATGATATAAATCTTTCAAAATCTATTTGCATACCACTTGGGAACTACTCAAAGTTCCCTTTCATTTCAGCCACTGGTACAGAGATCAAACAGAGCTAAGCAGGTTTCAAGCAGCTTTCCACAAATACAGGACAACACTTCATCTCCTCAGAGCTCCCAACATCACACTCCCTGCCTAGAGTCAACCTGCACCTCAGGGTGAAGCTCAGTAGGCCCAAGAGGAAGAGGAGACAATGCCTATGGCTCCACCTTAACCAAGGGGAAAGGGTGCATCAGTGCTTCCCCTTTCATCTCAGGCAGGGCAGTCCTGAGCCACATTTGTCAAGTTTCTTAAAGATCTCAATGCTGTCCACAGTGGCTGCCAACAAGATAAAGCTCCTTTGTTTTTAAGTTCTCTCCTGTCCTGTTTTCTTTGCCTTTCCCTCCTGTCTGCTCCCTTGCATCTCATGTAAAATAAATAAATAACAATAATAAAAAGTCCCCTTCTTCTATACCTTTGTGAAGCTTTGCTTAGGGGAGATACAGACTAAGACAGATGCCTTCTCCAAAATAAGAACATGAAGCACTTCCTAAACATCAGTTTTTGCTCACTCATAACAACTTAACCTGTAAGAACACTTCAGAAGAATATTTGGGACTGTTAATCTTTTCTGATGATTGCACAATCAATTATCTGCATTAATCTCCAATTCAGCTACCAAGAGTTTTCGCTTTCATTATTTCTGATAGCCTATTTTTGCTTATTTTCATTAAATTAATTAAGTGAATATTTTACCTGCTGAGTGAGTAAATTAAGTCTTTTGTGGATTTCTGGGAAGGAGACCAAAGTTACTGAAATGACTTTGAGAAGGAATTTTTGTGGTTTTCTAGCTCACCTATTCTATAGAAAAACTCACTGGGTAATTAAATTGGAAATGGGGAACTTTTTAACCTGACTGCCCCTCCCCCAAAAAACCATGTGTGACCTTTAAACTTTCTACTGAGACACACTTTAAAACCACAAAAAGACTAATTTTGGACCCAATTGCCTATAGTGCTCATTGAAATCTCAGCCTTGAGATGCGGTTAATCACCAGGACTCAACTTTCTCAACATTATGCTTTATTTGGTATTTTAACATGTTGCTTTTTGCATATGTATATTTGTAACTTAGATCCATCATAGTTTTCATAGAAAGTGCAGTGGGGGTATTGATTTTCCTGATCATCTATCTTTCTAAACTACTGGCTTCTTTCCTACTTTTAAAATAGAAATAATAGCCATATTATAGTCAGTAAAAATTTCCCCCCATATATTCATGGGACATTTCTCATGGGAGAAATAAATGATACTGATTTTTCTCTTTTAAGATCTGTGCTTATCTTTGATATTCGAGGTTCTGTGTGAAAGGCTTAAAAGGATTTCAAGAAAGACTGAATAGAAACAATAATTGAACAATTTACTTCTAGCGTTTTAAATCTTCTATTTTCTGGAGATGCAAGACAATTATTATAAATGTTTGGAAGACTGGAGACCCTCATCTTTAAAATGGAGAAAACAAAAGCAGCTGTCCCCTAAGGTTGTGTAGATTCAATACAATGAGCTGGGGTTCAGCATACAAGGACTCAACATATTGGTGCTGTCTTTCTCAATATCATCCCAATCATCTCAGCATTGCCATAGTCATTTCCAAAATACCTAATGGCAAAGAACAGGAAAACTCTTAAATGTGGATTATTCATTTCTTCCAAGCAACAATTATGAGGCAGTGGTGACTCTCTCAAATTTATAGGTGAGGAAACTAAGGAAGTTCAAATAAATCTCCCACTAAATTCCTAAGTAACAGAGCTGTAATGTAAACCTGTGTCTGGTCAGCAACAAAGCTCATAACTTTCTACTTGATGTGGTGCTGCAAAATGTCAGAAGTCTATGAAACCAAATTCCCCATGGCACACACTTTTTTTTTGAAATTCCCATTTCAGAAAATCTCATTTTCTATTATTTGAGAATCTTTAATCCAGGGTTACTTCCCAATCAAATAAAGCTTGTATTCTGATTATTGTCTGAATTATTGGTATCAATATATGGTTTCTTACTTTATATTTCTTTTGTATTCTCTATGTTGAAAATAATAACATAGTCAATATAGAATTACTGGAATAGGGAAAGATAGTATATAATTCTATAGGATGTCCTTTAATAAAGTGAAATATATATTTAACACTTTATCTCAATGAGATGGATTATATATTTAATTTCATTCTCATTAAATTTTTCATTTGTTAAAAATGAATAATATAAAGAATGAAAAAATCCTGCAGTGTAAAATTGGATGTTTTAAGGACCAATCATTGATGTCTTCTTGCAGTTTATATCTTGGATTTACTTATTATGAGGATTTGTGACATCTACAGAATCAATCTCTCTCTCTCTCTCTCTTTCTCTCTCTCTCTTCCTCTACCTCTCTCCCTCTCTGTCCTTTTGTACTATGTATAACTGTCGAGTTAGTAAATCATGAGCACTGTGTATTCCCAGTCTGTCTGCTCCTTTCATTCCTAGTCCCCTCTTATCTGCTATCTTTATTATAATTTCAGCTGAACCCTTGCAAAAAATTACCTGAAGACGCTCTGAAATCTAGCCAAATCATGAACCACGGTGTCAAAACAAAACAACAACAACAGAAAAGCAATTCCTATTAGTCTGGGTGTTTCTGTTTAAAGGCTTGGGTTGCTTATGTGTCTGCATCACAGAAACATGGTCTTCAGAGAGCCAAAGGTTAACATTGTATTCAATCATACCTCATTATTCCTATCAATACTCAATGAACATGTATTTGGTGCCTGATATGGGCACAGCATTATTCTCAGTACTGAAAATAGAATATATAAAAGCCTGCCCTTATGGAACTGATATTCCATTCACAGATGGAAAAGCAGAGCACAAGAATTGAGAGGGCAAGCTAGCTGGGGGGGCACCTCCAGAATAGCAGTCCTGTCTACTCACTGGGCAAAGCAAAAGGAGATCTGTGGTGTGTGGCATCAAGCCCTAACCTTAAGTCAGAAAATCTGAGTTCTAGACACTGCCCTGCCACTGCTTGTTAAGAACAACAGAGGAAACATGTTGAATCTTTTTGGAATCTAGTATCTGTTTGCTCATCTGTGAAGGCAGGTGATGCCAATCCCTTTATTCACTTACCCTATGTAACCAAGTTTGAATTGTGTTAGCATTATGTTGAAGACCCCAACTACCTTCCTAGTTTCCCATTTCCAGTTTTCACTCCCCTATGAAGACAAACATTCCCCTTCTTACCTGGCTAATTCCTATCAGTTCCCTAAGCCTGGCTTCATGAATTTCTTTGGGACATTTTGATTGTTGGCGATTCCCTGCCATCATAGGTAACATTGTAAGACACATATCTGGTAAATTTATAATGGTCTCTTTTAAAGGAAATTTTAGACTTGGAACTGCTTAAGTGAAATAAGATGACCATGTTGAGGAAGCTGATATAAATTACTAAAATGCTTTCCAAAAAAACTTGATATTCACCAGCATTTTATGACAATGTTTGTTTTAAAATACCTTGGCTAACCATGAGTGTTATTACTTTAGGTTTTGTTTCAGCCAGTGGTTTGCTAGCACATAGGTCTCTACATCCCTTCTGGATTAGCCAGTTAAGAACACTGTCTTACTCTTTTCTTTTTCTTTTTATTGAGACATAATATTTTTACATCTTTATGGGGTACATTGTGGTAATTTAATCATATACACAATGTGTAATAATCATCTCAGAGTATTACCTAGTTTACTCTTGACAATTAGCTTATAAGCGCCCAAAACACTAAACATACAAAATATAATGTTAGTTGCTCTATCAATTAGTGGGACCCAGGACATTATAACATGCAATTATTTAAATGTATGCTCATGTGTTTATGAATAAATGCAATGTTTGACAAAAATTGAGCTCACCTGATAACTTTCCACTATTTTTTCTAATACATGCTTCCAATGTACTGATATCTCAGAAGATGATAAGACTTTTACACCTACTTCTGTGGGGGCTTCACTGGGAGCTGAAATTTGATGAGAACATTACATTTTAGAAACTTATATAAAGAAATTTGAATAAAACTGTTTGCTATATGAATTAATTAGAACTATCACATTTTAAAAATAAATTAGTTTTACTATATCTTCCTTTATTTTTATTATGTTTATTTTTATTATTACTAGGTACACACATTTTCTTACACATGAATGATAATGTATACATATAATTATTCATGTACTTTGACAAATTATAGAAAGCTTTGTGGATTTCCATGATACCTTTGAACAAGAAGTATATTAATTTGTTTTTATTTCACCCAAATGATATTTTTAAGAAGGCCTTCTTATGTAAATTAAAACTATATTTATCTATTCTACCTTACCAAAAGAACTTCAGTATTTACTATACAAATTATTCATTATAATGAGTTTTCTCCTACTTGTTATTCATATGAATTAACAATACATAGCAATATAATTAATAAAACTTTCTTCTTTTATGTTCAAGCTAAGAATTAAAAAAAAGAATGTATGATCCTTTGAAACAAGTTGTGACATCCACTGTTTCTTGGGCTCAGGAAAGCTTTTATATGTCTAATCTTACAACTGGGCATCAAGTCAAATATGTATCAAAAAGCCTCTGTTCAGGGAGAAAAAGTAATTTACATCCATTATGAAATTTACACAAAGAAACCAGGGAAACATTTAAGCAGGGGTGATCAATTTTTATTGTCTTTCATTAAAAAGGCATAATCCTATTTAATGTTAAAAAAATGTCCTACATATGAATACTGTTGCCTTTCCAAATCAAGGTAAACATGTAGCACTGTGATTGATTTCTTAGAAGTAGAAGATTAACAACTTATACAAGTTTCAGCACATGCAAGTTTTATGAGACTCATGAAATATTTAGGAAAGAAATATAATTAAACACAAATGGCCATGACTCCATAGATGACAAGCATGGCCTTTTGCCTAGAAGCTTACTTTAGCATCAAATACAGCAGTAAAAAATGATATTGGATGAAAAGATAACTTGTAAAATACTTTTAACTTTCATTTTCTCCAGGAGATGTAGTCATGTTTTTCAAGTTATTAAAACTGAGTCAAGTTATCACATTTCTGCTGAATAAATACAGAAATAGAGAATGTAAGATTTGTCATCAGGACTTTTCCATGGCTTGATTATAAACAAATTATTTCTGCTTTTTATTCTTTCAAGGTATTTAGCTGAGCTAAATGACTCATGGCTGCCTTTCACATGTGCATTCTTGAATACATATTATATATGTTTAGAGTATGTAACATGATGCTATAAGATACATATACAACAAAATAACAGAATTGGAGTATATGGCTCATAAGATTATTTGAATACACATTATATTTTTGAACAAATATGAAAGGTAATGAGTCTATGACTGAGGATCATATTGGAGAAGTTCAGTTGAATTCTAAGGGACAGCTCTGTTTATTTTGAAGTAACAATAATGTAAATTGGATAAACCATTAGATGGAACCTTTTTTTTTCCTCAAAGAGAGTAGAAGAATACCTCACACAATTCTAGTTCTCAAAAATCTTTCATTTGAGTGTTTGCAAGGGAAAATTGTCTAAGGGTAAATGTATTAGATCAGAAGTCAATAAAATCTCTATTTGCTTCATTAGTCATTAATTATTTACACAGTGCACATGAGTAAGAAGACAAAATGTGGACATTTTATCAGTTTTTAACAGGAATATAAATTTAAAAATCTTAGCAGCTTAAATAGGAAATCATAGGAAATAAGGTAACTATGTTAAAAACTGTATGTCATTTACTATAAAAGTCCTCTATAAGCATGATTAATTAGTTTCTAGAAAAACATAGAGCCAGTATCAATATTTTTTCCCTAAATGGCCTATAGGACAAAACTTTTCCTTTAAAAGAAAAAAATTTCAACTGATTTTCTGATTCCTCTTTTATATAATCACGTTTAGATACCCATTAATAAAATTTCAGCATGCTATTATAATTAAAAAGAAAACTTACTTGAATGCTGCAGTCACACAAATTTTGTGTTATGATTTTGAGCAATTTTATAAGCAATACATATATTCTAGAATCTTATGTAGTAGTATGCACTATGCACAAACATAAGTTCCAATCCAGTTTTGGAGAATTTTGACAATCACGTTATAATTAAGAGGCAAGGAACAGGAGTCTAGTCAACTACATTGGACATGATCTAAAGGATGAACAAAAGCATGAGTAACTTGTCATTTATGTGGAGAGACTGACATTTTACTTTGGCTCAAAATGATACTCATTTGCGAAAGGTGTAGTACTATAGAAGGATCTTAATGAGTAAGACCTTAAAGAAAACAAACTGAATGCCAAAGAATTAGATTCCATCTGCCTCACCACATTGGCAAGGCCTTTGACCTACCATCTTGTGCTGAATTAATGACTGCTATGAGGCTGTAGGGTCCATCTCCTTTGTTGTTGAAGGCTTTCACTTTGACTTGAAATGCAGTAGAAGGGCTCATGGTTTCATCTTTATGGACATATCGGCCAGTGTCTGGATTAGTAACTGTGACTTTTTTCCATTCTTCTCCATCAAATGGTTTAAATGCCACAATGTAACCAAAATTGTTACCATAGTGGTATTCTCTTGATAAAGGCTAAATAGAGGTTAAAATATTAAATAGGTTTTAATGATAAAGTTAGCAGTGAGAAAAATCCTATGAGAATAAATATTCACATAGAGGCATGCTTTCCCCTAAAATGTATTTGCTCATAAGTTAGTACTGGGAGAAAATGCCAGAGCAATATCATGCTCAACATGTGATGACCTCATTTACCAAGAGGCAACCTTGCTATTTCTCAAACACCCTAGGGGCTCCTGCCTTGGACCTTCCTATTTTCAATTTCTTCTCTCTGAGATGTTCTTCTAGATGCAATCTGATTCCTCCCAAGCTTTCTTGAGCCTTCAAGAACACTGATTCTCAGGCCCTATCCTTGGAAACTTGATTTTGAATTTTAGGAGAATTTCTAATTTTAAATTTTTTCACAAAGCTCATTTTATTGGGAAGCAGATACCCACAGGGTTTACAAAAACCATGCCATATGGAAAAGAGTACGATGTCCTGATTTTTATATTTCCATTTTGGGACATTATATTGACAGTAAAACTCGGAAATAAATAATTGGAGATTCAGACAAGCAAAAAACAGGATTTTATTTTTTTTCTTTTTCTTTTTCTTTCTTTCTTTCTTTCTTTTTTAATCTTGCTTAAAAATCTATTTAAGTGCCAAACATTATATATGACTCCAGAGGACAGAATAAAGTCACCTGAATATGCTCTTACTTAATAAATCAGTCTAATTCATGTAAAGACTAAAACCTGTCTTTTTTCTTGTGGTCCTCAAATCCTTTGGAGCCTAAATTGTGTTCCTCAACTATCTGCAGTAGTTAGACATTAAAAATGTGTACTGTATACATGAATTTATGGAGTGTTACCTGGATAAGTGCCAGATGCCTACTTCAGGTAATTCTGTGCTATCACAGTCTTCCCCACCCCCTCCCAATTTCCCTCCCACCTCAAAAATCCACAAATACTATATCTGATATAGAACTTCTCCTTTGGATTAAGAAAATGTAATAAACTGTTTGGATCACTCAGTATCAGTCCCCTGGATGACTTCTAAGACTCCTCTATCGTGATGGATTACACTAGGAAGAAACAATCTTCAATTTAAAAAATGGGTTTGGATAGAACGTTTGCAAATTGAATCTTTGGAGTTCAGATTGTCCAGAGAAAAAGTTATAAATTATAACTGGGTTACCAGACCACAATGAATTTAAAATATCTCTGGAATCAGAGAGTTGAATATTTAATCATCTATGCTACTGCATCCCTTGGTGTTCAGGATCCTTTTTTTGCATAGGATCTGCCCACCTTAGCCTTTGCAAGCCAGAGAAAGAAAAAGAAGTAATTCACTCTTGTTTGTGGATTGAGAATTCTGCTTTGTTTTGAATTTATTTCAGAAAATAAAATGTGTTTGTAGTTCAGTATAGAAGTGCCCTATAATATGTTCAGTTCAATCAATACTTACTGCCCATGTTATTGTCAGCTCTCTGTTGCTTCCACCCCCACCTCCCACATCTGAAGGAGCCACATTTGGTGCTGAAACAAACAAACAAACAAACAAACATGAAACAACAAAAACAGAGACTATGTAATTTTTTTCTGATGATAGTGTTCTTATTTACCACAGAAAACATGATTTTTTTCTTTCACTAGGAAAAACAAGCTGCCTGCATGATCCCACTCAATTATAATAACAATGGCTCACAGTAGCTGTAATAATCTGTTTTACTGCCAAGATAAAAATTGACTCCATGCCATAGGAAATGTGCCGGTTTCCTTCAGCAAAGGAGAGTGAAGCAAACTGGCCTCATCCATCTTTTGTGTGGTGTGTCCTTCCATTTAAAATGATTTTTTAAGATTATATATACTGTATTGGAAAATATTTTAGAGCTCTCACTTGAAACCCTACAAATTTCCCACAACTTACTGTTTTGCCAGTTTTATACTTCATTCTACAAAATAAATATTAAGATTCCATACATTTATATTAACATTGGATAATGTTTCCCCAAATATGTGGATATAAGAAAAATGCAATAAATCTAATATTATCTCTTATGCTCTCACTTCCAATTCCTAAGTCTCTTTTGGAAGCTTGCCCCATCAGTGACTCCAATCCTTCTGTTCCAGAACCTCTTACATCATCTTTCAGTCTCAATCTCTGCTGGAGAGTTTTCTCACTGTGCAGTCTCTCTGCTCTGAAGGACTTTCTTGTAATGCTGCTTCCCTCTTAATCCCCAACCCATCACACCCTTTCCTGTCACTGAAGTGTGTAAAAGAATGAATACATGACCGTCTTTTGTATTCATTACATAATCACTTTTTAACAACCCCCAATCTGTTTCCACTTCTTCACAGTCCTAAAATCACTATTTCACAAAATTGATCTTAACTGCCAAGTCCAATGGGTACCTTTTTTTTTTTTTTGATTTTCTCACTCCTTGAAATCCCTTCAGGGTAGACACTGTATCTTGTTAGATGTGTAGACATAGCCTCTAACTGGAGATGTGCAGATGAATGATGCTTTGTCTGTTTTGAGCATGCCCCAGCTACTGGCTGCCTAGGATGAGGTCTGGGTTTCCATAAGCTGTGTACATTCCCCATGCAAATGTGTTGGCTCAGTGGGAGATATTATTCCCAAATCAGTTAACTCTTCCAAGAGATGAACTGTCATTTCTTCTCAATTCCCTTCCCAAGGGGACATGGTCATATCTTCCTCAGAATCGTCATATCAAGGTAACATTTACTGAAGTACAGAACTTAACAAATAATTGTGATTAAAAAAAGACAAGCCTCAAAACATCATGTTAGCTATGTAAGTTCTTAGATGAAATATGTAGATTTATTGCACAGAAACAAAATACATGCTTTCCCTTATATTTATAAAACTATATGATGATTTCTTTTTCTCATGAAAAAAAAACCTGAGTGATTTCAATTTATTATTCAACTGTTACCACAGTGAATGTTAGAAGGTAAAATTCAGTGCACAGGGTTGTTAAAAGTGAAGTTGTTTGTAGCTCTTTAGTTAAAACACATATTGAAGACTAGGATATTAAAGTAACTCTGGAAACTCTTCTAACTCCATAACTCATGTTCTGAAGTTAAAATTCCACATGCTATAGAAAAACAAAAAAGGTTATTGTCTAATAATCAATGAGTAAAGGTTTTTTGTTTGTTTGTTTGTTTAAGTAATCATAGGCAAATAATTGCAAAAATACCTCTAAAATAATAAACTATACCACAATTCGTTGAATCAAACACTGCCTTCCTTGGGACAAGTATATTAGGTAGGATGTTACATTATAATGTAATGCATTTCATTATAATCATTTTTAACCTTATGATAAGAACAGAGCGAAAGTTAGAGTGTGTTTATATTGCCACTTTATGTTTAAGTGCTTTTTAACATGCTTCAAGCAAATAATTCAGGATTGATTTGTTCCTCAAATATTGCCTGTTGGGCTCATGTTGCTGAAAACAAGACAATGAAGAAAAGCACAGAAGTAAAAGTAGTAAAAAGTAGCTCTGTTTTGATATCTTACTTAGATTATTGACTTAGTTTTCCCCATGTTGCCTTAAATATTCACCTGTAGCCTTAGCAGATTTGGGGAATTTTTCACAGATGGAGTTGTGAATAACCTACACATCTAACTTGAATCTGAGAACAGAGCAGTTAGATGCTATTTTGTTTTGTTTTCCTCCCGTTGGCCCTGGTAACACAGGAAGACCTGGCCACATGTTGACTTTTTTAGGCAAGTAAATCACCATAAGCACAAGGAAGTCTGTTTAGCTCCAGGCTTCAGCACACTGAACAGAAAACAAACTGGACATTCTTTAAACAATAAATCATTAAAACGAATTTAAGTTATATTTTTAAAAATGCTAAAATATTAATCATGAATAAGCAATATTTATAATTTTACTATGAAAGGTAAAAACAGTGGGATATTTTAACACATTCTTTTGCCATCATTTCAGTCTAACTGCTATTCCCTTGAGGTTTTTTATAAGAGTGCCTCTGTATTACAGTCACAGGTCCAGAAAACTTAAAAAAGAAAATCAAGTCAATGCCATGATTATCTTTCCTATGAAAAGAAGCTAATACTGCCAATCTCCCTTTTATATTTCAATGCTTAAAAAAATTGTATATAAATATCTCTTTGGGCTTTGATGTTTTATTTAACAGGGTTGAAACTGGCTTGTAACAAAACCAAAATTATGAAAATAGAATATATAAAGATTGGATCTTGACTCAGAATATATTAACTACTTATTTGTTGTTAATTATTTCCTTGACTTGAAAAGTCACTTTTACAGACAAAAAATTTAAACATGAATGTAACTTTTCAGCTTAACTTGCATCAAAAGTTCAATATGATTTAAAGCAAATATCTTAGTAAGAGATTTTAAATGGTTCCATAAGTATTATTCTAGTCTAGGGAACCAAAGAGGTTACAATTTAACACCTAGTTTTATTCTATCTTTATGTCTCTATGTTTAAGCACTTAAATATATAATTCTGAAAAACTCTTTTTTAAAATTTTTTTATTAGTTGCTCGAAACATTACAATGATCTTGACATATCATACATTTGATTCAAATGGGGTCCATAATCTTATTTTTCCACTTGTACAGATTGCAGGATCACACTGGTTATATGGCCACGTTTATACATAGGGCCATCCTAATGTCTATTGTATTGTGCTGCCCTTCCTATCCCCCTTCCCCTTCCCTTCCCTCTTTCTACCCAATCTACTGTGACACGAAACTCTTTTTTTCTAATTTTTTTTACATTTTTAAAAATTGTTTATTGATTTTATTTTTTTAATACACAACAGCAGTGGAATGCATTACAATTCTTATTACCTATATAGAGCACAATTTTTCATATCTCTGTATAAAGGTATGTTCACGCCAATTTATGCCTTTATACATGTACTTTGTTTATTGTTTTTTTTGCCTTACAATTCTTAATACACATATATACCACAATTTTTCATATCTGTTTGTATATAAAGTATGTTGACATCCAATTCAAGTCTTCATACATGTACTTTGTATAATGATGTCCTTCACATTCCACCATCTTTGCTAATCCCCTGCCCCCTCCTTTTCCCTCCCAACCCTCTTCCCTATCTAGTGAAAAATAAAATGAAACAAATTGTAAAATATTTGGATATTCAAATAGAAGTAGTTCTTTGTAACTCATGAGATCCTACTTTGATGGCGGAGCAGATTGCTAGCAGTTCTAATGCATCTACTATGTTAAATTGATGTTCTTCCATTATAGATAAAAATAAAGAGATTTCAAGATAGTTCACAAAAATATTAACTTTTCAGCATCTTATCAGGCAGAGATTGGAGGTTTGTTTGTTATTATAGGCTTTGTTTTCAAATAGGAAATTATAACAGGAGAGTAGAGTAAGTTTATTAATTGCTCAATGCAATGATCCTATAAGAAAAGTCAGTTGCAGATAGTGTTTAGATAGGCAAAAAAGAATGAAATAAATTGAAATAATTATATGCATAATAAAATTCATAATTAAAATCCAAACCAGTAATGGATTATTTCTTTAAATAAAGTAAAATATTTGTTAATTTCTAGTTTACCTTTCTGTGTGTATGAAAACCAAAATCATCTAATACAGATGTTAAGCTTGTTTTCAAACAAAACAAAATATATTTGGTAGTAGATCCTTTTAAATCATAATATGTAAATCCCACTGTTGCTTTGATCACACCTTCCTTTTCACCATCTGCTATTAATGTCTGGTAGTCAGTACTGCCAGCTTATCCTCCTTATTTCTCCCTTTTTCTTCTACAAATAATTTTGCGTAACTATGGACAATATGCTGTGTTAAGCACTAAAGATAACAATATAAATACAATTTGCTTCAAGTCCTGAAGATGTTCTTTATGATGATAGAGGTTAAGTGTACACTACTAGTTTTAATTCAATGTGTTAATTGTCCAAAATTTATAAAAGTGCTGAATGAATAAAATGATCCGTGCTTAACAACAGACTTATCTACAACTTTTGAATTATTTTTACTTATCTCACCTAATTGGACACTCACACAACACTTTGAAGCACATGGAGAAGTAGCATTATCCCCATTTCATAGAAAAGGCAAATGAATCCCGAAGAAGCTAATTGTCCAGGTTATACTACTCACAAGTAGAGAAGCTGCCAACTTTAATTCAGGTCTCCTGATGGCTTAAAGATCAATCTATATTCTTTAATTCTTTTAAAATGATTTATCTACTTAATTATTAATGACAACTTACTTTCACATAGTAGTTTCTTACTAGCTATAAAATATGTTCTTAGTGGCATTCCTGTCTTTTATTAAATAAGGAAAAAAAGGAAAAAAAAATCAAAGAAAAAAAGAAAGAAATGGAAAAAGCTAAATGAAAGAAATACTAGCTTTGTTGGACATGAAATTAAGACTTAATACATAACATGAAAGTGTTTATTCTGGTTTTGTTATTTTTCCTCTTTTCCCCTTCAAACTGGCTTGAACTGGCAAATAAACACAAAGCTGTCAAAATAAACCTGATTGCACCATTTGAGGCTATCAATTCACCAACTGCACCTGCAGAGCTATTAGCTGTGGGAATATATCTTACAATGACTCATTATTTCAAAGAATGTTTTTGTTATCTCTTTCTTACAGTCAAAATTAAAAGGGCTAAAATGAATTACAAACATGCCTTCTAATTCTTCATTTGTGAGCATCCATTTTATAATACACTTGTCTGAATCCAAAGAATACACTCAACTGTGCTCTGAGATCTTGACATTAAGTAATTGGACAGAGCAGGGCATGTGCAGCATTGGATAATGTCACCTCTCTTCAATCAGCATAATGAGGCACAGATCAACTTTTCCATCAAAAGGAAACTAGCCTTTATCCCACATAACATATGCTGGCATCTCTTAGAGTCGTTATAATCGCACATGACAAGACAAATATTTCTCATTTAGAAAGTCTTTTTTACTTTTTTGTAAGAATGAAAAATGTAAATGTCCAATTTTATGTATATTCATTTTTAATAAAGTAGATGAAAGGAAAAACAAAAAAGAGAAATTCTGTTGAATTTTATTTTGTGAATACATAAAATGATTCTTTTAAGATGATAAAAAATTATATGAAATAATATGATCTATTATGCTTTTAAAAATGGAAATATGTTGCCAAGTGAGGTGATCAATTACAAAGTAGACAGGAGACCATATTTTTATAAGCACATTAAATTTTAAAATTAACATTAATAGCATAATAAATATGTATTGAGCAAATATTATGTACCACAATGCTGCTATCCTGTGTTTTTAAATCGTAAAAGTAATCCCATAAGACAATTGATTCCCATAAAAAGATGAGACTTCTGTGGCTCCAAGAGATTAAATAATGTGTTCCAGATCCTAGAGCTTCCAAATGATGATGCTATGATTCCATAGAGGATCAATGGCTTGGAACTTCTGTACTGTGCACTGTCTTCAGATAGAAATTTAGGAGCAAAACATTGAGAATTTGGAAGAATTGGATTCGAATTCCAACTCTGCCTCCCATTAGCTGGGTACAATCTTCCTCATGTCAGACCAGGAATGATCATAATTTTGTAAAGCTGTCATGAAAATTAAGTGAAGCAATATAAGCAGAGGCTGGGTGGTATGGTGTAAATCTGTAATCCCAGCAGATGAGGAGGCTGAGGCAGGAAGATCCCGAGTTCAAAGCCAGTCTCAGCAAAAAGTGATGCACTAAGCAACTTAGTGAGACCCTGTCTCTAAATAAAATACAAAATAAGGCTGGCGATGTGGCTCAGTGGTTGAGTGCCCCTGAGTTCAATCAGCATACCAAAAAAAAAAAAAAAAAGAACAAAAAATATATATTTAAGCAGAACAGAGAGTGAAGCATTATGTCTGACAACCTATGTCCCATATGTGAATGGTGGCAACCTAAAAGTTGACTAATCAAAATTCCTAAAGCATTTTCTGATGATAGATTAATAAATGTGTTATAGGTTACAGGATTTAGTTTTTCACAAAGTAAATGAATCATCCCCTATGACTACAGGGCTTCACCTTGTTCTGAGATTAAGACCTTTATCATTTCATAGTTGTGTTTGCTCTTTTGCCTATGATGTCATTTAAAATAATTTATTTTCTAAGCACACTAGAGAGGAAGTTAAATCCTTAACAAAATACCATTTGAGTAAAAATAAGGTAAGAGATGATGCAAAAAATAAGTTGGTTGCCACAGTTTGGGGTTTGATATTACTTTGAAACATTTTTTCCCCTAGAATATAATAAGAAGAAAACATTGAAGTTGAAAATTCTTCAGAGGTACATACCACTAATATTAAGCAAGGTACTTCTAGGCATTATATTAAATACAAACTATATTCATAGACCCAGATATGAAACAATTAAATTGAATCTGAGACATTGGTATTTTTATTGTTGCTCTTAAAAACATTTAATTTCATTACTTCTACTTGAGAATTTAAAAAATAAGCCTAAGACAAATCCTATAGCAATCATGTCCAGATGATGAACTTATGTAACAAATCCTTCTCTGAGAAAAATATTAAAGATATTGTTTTTAATAAAATTTGTAAAAAGAGGGAGGTCTACTTCTATTCTCAGTGCCAAAGGAAAACATCCTCCTGTCTGTGAACCATTTTTACTTCAAGAAACAGTGTCCAGATAAGACTTAGTTTATATCAAGAGATCACAGAAAATTAATAAAATTCAATGAGGTTTTTGTTTAAAAAGGTTTGTATTTGAGGTACGTATGTTATAGTGTTGTAACTGAAATGCTTGCTTAGACCAATTTAATCATTCTGTATTTTTCTCCAACTTTATTTTAAAAATGAAAATGCTTGTTAAATCAAATCAAGTGCATGATCTCTCAGTGTAAAATTATTTGGTCAAAACCACTGGTCCAGTCAGGCCCCATTTTCCTTTCTTTATATTTTTCAAGAAAGAGCAAATGTGTTCAGTCTGCCAAACAGTAGCCTCCACTGCAAACACAGGTGACTCTAGGGAATAATAATAATAAAAATAAACTCAGGGGTGCTGGCTCTGTACATCTGTGCTTCAGACAGCTTTGACTTAGATGACTTCCATATCCTAAGGGATTTCTAGGAGGTAGAGAAGAGGTGACACTTTTTGTTTCCTAGGTGAACACACTAAAACAAATAAATAAAAATAATACTTAGGACATCTCTGACATCTTAGTTAAGGATTAAATAGATTCAAACTTCTAATGTAATTCTAATACAGCTTCACATAAACAAATGAATTTTTAGGATCCTGCTTGAGATATTGCTTTTATGAGAAAAGCTCAATGTATCAGTGGAATCAGACAGATCTGAATTTGAATTCTGAATCGCACAAGTAGGTGTATTAACTTAGGCAAACTACCCAGTGTCCCCCAGTCTACTGCTTATTAACAATCATAAGGACCAGTTCTCCTATATGGTATTATTATCATGAGGTTAAATGAAATTTAGGTGAAAACACTCCCCACACACCATATATCTTAATCCTATTTTCTTCACTTAAGGATCATCACTTTCATCAGATAAATTTGATGAAATTATATAAAACTGTGAGAGACAGCTTATTGATGGTTGTCTCTGGGAATCAGTTTGTTTTAAAAACTAAAGACATTAGAAATAGAAGTTTAGAAATTATACCATGTAACTGAGGTAGCTAGCAACATGGATAAGTGGTATTAAGAGAGCACAGCAGGATTATATGATTATATGATAGGCTGTTATCTGCTTAAAATCTTTTCCCCAACAGCACATCTGTAATCCCAGAGACTCAGGAAGCTGAGGCAGGAGAGTCTTGAGTTCAAAACCAACCTCAGCAAAAGTAAGGCGCTAAGCAACTCAGTGAGACCCTGTCTCTAAATAAAATACAAAATAGGGCTGGGGATGTGGCTCAGTGGTCTAGTGTCCCTGAGTTTGATCCGTGGTACCCCCCCCCAAAAAAAAAACCCAAACTTTTCCCCAAAATAAAGCGCTAAAGTTTAGCAGAGTATAGTCAAAATAAAAATAAAGGAACTCAGAGAGCTTACAAAAACAAAATCCTTTTGATATACAGGAATGATAAATGAAGAGCTATCATTAGAATCAAAACAACAGTTTGCTTAGAAATTCAGGGTGTGGGGGAGAAGGGAGGAGGCATGGGGGTAAGAAAGATGGTGGAATGGGATGAACATCATTACCCTAAATACATGTATGAAAACAAGAATGGTGTGACTCTGCTTTGTGTACAACCAGAGACAATGAAAAATTGTGCTCTATATATGTACTATGAATTGAAATGCATTCTGCTGTCATGTATAACAAAGTTGAAGAAAGAAAGAAGTTATTTAATTAATTAATTCAGGGGGAAAGGGAAAAAGAGTGCTTCTTTCAGTGAAAGCTATTTAAATGGAGTTGGTAATTAGCATAAAAATGCCAACCTGAATTTGAAGAATAGCCAAAGTTGAGCTATGATAAAAGAGTACTTGAGTTATACCTAATGTTAAAAGAACACATCCTGGCTATGTCTTGGGGATGTTATGACTCCCCACGTGTGTGGCACTGATCTGAGAAGTCCTCAGTAAATTCTCTCCATACCCTGCTGTCCCTCTGCCCTCTGCCCACACCCTCCAACCACAAGGACATTCAATTATAAATGCCTCAGAAGTGAAAAAAATCACTAACCTTCTAGATTAAATCCTGGAACCTGTTTAATCCAGAATCTGCCTGGTTAAGATTCAGAATGTACATGACAGTCTATCTTCTAAATGCCAACTCCATTAAGATAGTGTCTGGTAGACTGTGCAGTGGTTTCCATTTACTTCTTTCCTTACATTAATTATGCAACAATATTCAAAACTTAATATTTCCTGTTTTGGGGTTTTGGCTGCCTTGATATAGAATACTCACATGTGTGAAATACATACACACATACACTTTAGATGAATCACTTACCTTAGAGCATTATTTATTTCCAAATATTTTCCTCTACTTATTAGACTGAGACCACATTTATAAACCTTTTGGAATTTAGTTTCTTGTACATACCTGCGCCATCTGTTTTAATCCTGTTGGAGGGTAAACTGGGCTCTCCTATACCCAATGTGTTAGTAGCTACCACACGAAATTCATACTCCATCCATGGGATAAGGTCCACTGCTCTTGCTGCCTCCATATTTCCTTCAATAATTGGGGGATCTAAATAAAATAAATATTAAAATGGAGATTATTAGTTGCCTAAGTTGTTATTTGTATCACTTTTCATTTTCATTTCATTTTTTTGAAGAGAATGTACATATTATGTGGAATTAAAATAAAAATGATAACTAGGAATATGAAGTTCAAGTAAGTAAGAGAAGAAGTTATTATAAATAATGAACTAAAAAAAGACATGCAACATAAGAAGTTTGAGGTAGGGCACCAAATTCTGTATTTCTAAGGAGCTCCTAGGTCATGCTGATGCTGCTGGTCCAGGAACTACAGCTTGAGGAACAAGAAGCAGTGTTTTGGAGGTAAAACCTAGAAAGATTTCCAGAGGCAAAGGTAAAACTAGCACAGAAAGCTTATGCACTGCCACAGGGGTAGTCTACACATAGCAAAAGATTTGCTAATAGGGTGAAAAAGGATAATGATTATGACCTTTTTTTTTTGTTGTTGGTGTTACAGTTGTGTACTTAGATCATCTGGAGCAGTGATAATAAATATTATACTAGTAAAGTACTCAGAATTCATGTTACTAAATACTAACAGGCAATTATAAATTATGGGTAGGATATGACCTTAGCTTGCTTATTTAATTGAGATATGATAAGATATACAACCAAGACAGGTCTATGCCTTACTTTAAGCTCTCTAAAAATATTTCTACAGGATTTTCATAATTAACTTATACATACATGTGCATGCAAATGCCTATACACTACCTATTTGGAAATTTTTTTTTCTTTTGGCTTGTCTTGTGATTTATTATGTTAATATTTAGGGAATTTTTAGTCTGCAATGCAAACTATGAATATGCAGCTTCTTAAGATGTTGTACCCATTACCATAATAAATGCAAAGCATCCTGGTGTTCAGTTTTACTTTTAGAAAAATTCTTTTATAGCTCAGACTGTTTCATTTCTCACTCTGCTGCTAGTTTTGCTATTTATTCTCTTATTTTGTTATAGATTTGTCCTATAGACTTGACATAATTTTTTAAAGAATTTTTAAATAACTTTATTTTATTTATTTATTTGTGGTGCTGAGAATTGAACCCAGTGCCTCACACATGCTAGGCAAGTGCTCTACCACTGAGCCACAACCCCAGCCCATAGACTTGACATAAATTTTTGACATTCTGATTAAAAATTTGGCTTTCCCTCTTGTTTTTGTTCTGCTTCTTTATTTCTACTTTATTTCTGTTCCACTCTTCCCTTGCATATCATCAGAATCTGTTTGTTTTATTTGATATACTTAGGCACTTTTCTTTTTAGGTAATTAGAAGAGGAAAAGTGAAATTCTGGATTGCAAAGGGCCCTTCATGGAGTAAAGGGGGAATATAATGAGTTGTTATGACCCTGAGTTGGGCAGTCCTTCATCCTCACTGGATGCATTTCAGTGGTCTTGAGCCCCCTATGGAAAAAGACACTATGAGGCTATAGTAGTTTACATCGTACCCCTCACCAAAAAAAAAAAAAAAAGATAAGTCCCTGTCTAAATCTCAATTACCTGAACCTGTGCATGTTACCTTACTGGAAAGAAGGTATTGGCAAACCCTTTTCAGTTTAAGTTAAGGCTGTAATTAAGTAAAGGATATTGGATAAGATCATCCTGGGTTATCTGAATGGGCCCCAATATAATGATGAGTGTCCTTATAAGAGACACAGAGGAAAAACTCATAAACAGCTGAAGGCAGTACGACCATAAGTATTGAAGTGATGCAGTCATATGGCAAGAAACACTTGGAGCCATCAGAAACCAAAGAGACAGGGAATAAATTGTTCCCTGGGGCCTTTGGAAAGGGCGCAGCCCAGCCAAAACTTTGATTCTGTACATCTGGCCTCCAGAACTATGAGAGAGTAATTTTTGTTGTCTTAAGCTGCAAAGTTGGTAGAAATTTGTTATCCCATCCATAGGAAACTAATGCAGAGGCTTAAAGGAAGAAGCTGATAGAACTATTTGTCAGTTTGTGAGTTTGTGAATTTGGGGGCTTAAGAAAAAATTATTATGAAAGACTTGAAATTATTAATAAAGACTGATCCAATCCCCTCCTGCCTATACTGCAAAACCTTGGCATTGCTTAAACACCTGGAGAGTGGAAATGTTGGAAGCATTCAAGTGGCCCATCTTGGCAAGGATGTAGTGTTCTCCTGATGGCCAAGGCTACCCTGGGACTTTTCCAAGAAGCTGAGTAGTCAACAGGCAGGAGCAAGTATCTGCTGGATGAGAACAGGAAGAACTAGCTGGATACACAGTGCAGACTGCAACCAGTAGACTGATTTCAGGCAGATGTGAGAGTCCACTATGAAAATACCCTAAATCACACAAAAAATCAGGGATATAGTCAAAGACAAGAAATTCATACTTGATCATAGAGATTATTTCAAAGAATGGTGGGAGATTAAGTAGAAAGAGTCAACTGGGGTCATTTTGCAGGAGGATTTGGATTCCAAGTAAGGACCTGGGCCTTTGATTTGAATAACAGAAAGGAAGAAAGGAAGGAAAATAAGTAGGCTTTGAGAAGGTGGACACAATGGGAAGCCCTTGGCTCAGAGATGCCAACAATCTTCTCAAAGGAGAACAGAAAGTGGTTATCAAGAAGAGGGATTTCCAGAATGTGCCTATTGAAAGATTAAGAAAAGAGTTTGAAACCTATAAATTAAGGATATGCTCTACCAGAATTGCTAGTGACTTAAAAATTGCTTGTTTTAGAAAAAAACTAAAATGCCTTATGCATTAACTGGATAGGCTTCTAAATCTTGGTTTTAGTTTTGAGTATACATTTTAAGCCAAAAAAAAAAAAAAAAAAGTGAAGAAGGAAACGATACTTCTTACCTTTGTACTTAGTGAGATTCTTTTAGGTGTTTTGATTTTAGCAACCACCATGATCACTAACCCATAGATCTATTTACAAATACCTTGAGGCCAGAAGACTCAAAGACTTTGACTGGTTTTTGAGGAAAACAGAAGCAAGTCTTGTGAGTCTCCTAAGGCCAATAATTCTCAGTAGTTGCCTGAAAACCATGCTTGTGGTGTTTGGCCATCATACCACACTGATTGCAGCTTTAAACCACCTCAGAAATGACTAGAATCACTTAAGGACTAAAAACAGATTTCATCAAGAATAACTCCAGCCAACATAATCCCCTGTATTCTAAACTTTTGAAAGTTGCCTGAGTGAGTCCTGATAATGATAAGCACAGTGTAATGGGAATATTTCACCTGTTTCTAATTCATTGGAACTTTATACATCTATGTGGAAAATTACTTGTCACTAAGATATATCCTAAATCCTTGAAACAGATTTAAGTTTCTATTTGACTAAATTTCCTTGAAAGAAAGCAATATATTCAATATGAAATAAATCTAAGTTAAAACACCTTACTGTGCAAAACTATGTCAGGATAAAGCTAAATTGAGAGTATATTTGAAACACAGGATTGATTATTTTTCAGTTTTTAAAAGGAAGAAGCATCTTATTTTCTATTCTTGGCTTATTTCTTTTTCCTCTGGTGACAAATGAGCAGATATTTCTACTATTCTTCCTTGCTATTTTACAAAAATATCTTCTACCTTCTTTAATGTTATAGGAGAAAATAAAGTGATGTGTGATATTCTAGGTTAGTAATGATAAATGGCAATGGTAATAGTTATAGGTAAGCAAAAGTATCCATGTAATAAACTTTTCCTTATCAACTTTTAGAAAATCTTAATATAAGAAAAGAAAAAAAGGTTTGAAAGAAACCAAACCTTAAAATCTTTCCCTGAGGAAATTCAAACCAGGCAGGATCATTTTCAGGAAGTAAATGACTATAGGGAGTAAGACTTGAATGCTTAATATAATATTTATGATTAATGCAGCTGTTTTAAAAAAATGAAGAACTATAGTTCCTAAATAATGAGATAAAATGAGTCATAAATGACACTTGCCAAAACAAAGCTCTATAATGATTCTTTTTTTTTTTTTCCCAATGAATCTTAGCCTCACTGTAGTTCAAAGAAGGAAACCAGGATGTCCTTGTTGCTTTACCACTGCAGATTTGGACATGCTTTAAAAAACTAGTATGCTAAAACAAAAAATGTTTTAAGAAAAAAAGTATTTCAACATACATCATGAAATTTGAAAACCTACAGGATTTTATTGAAAAAGTCACACTGAAACATGTAATAACTAATCAGACAAATACAACTCACCAGTCTTAGCATCTTTCCAGTCATCTGAAAGAATGGTCCTGGTCTGGATAGTGTATTTGGAGATGGGACTGTGATTGTCTGAGCCGCGGCTCCAAGTGAGGGCAACAGAGGTGGCTCTAATGTCCTCTATTCGAAGACCACCTGGAGGGCCTGGGGGACCTGGAATGAAATGAGTAATGAATTACTGAATTCCAACTAGAGGACTGATCACATATTAGAATACGAAAACATCCTCCTTGCAATTAACCTAAACAAGTATAGAGTATAATCAAGTGTTGTTGCCTTCTTTTAAATATAAACCATAAGGAGGAATAATAAAATATAATTTATGGTGTTCACTAAAATATTTCATGTCACTTTTTAAGGAATAAGATAATACATTCATCAAAACAGCATTATTATTGAGTATACATATAATAATCTTCAACAGATAAAATGCAATTGGCATTAAAAAGACCTACTACAGATTAGAAGACCGTGACATCCAATGAATTTTTGCTGAATGGATGAATCATATATGGCAGCACAAGTTAATCCAGGTATGAGGACACTTGGTCAACTGTTTTTTTTTTCTCTCTCCCCAATATGGAACAAATATTTTCTTATAACCCTACCCTAAATGCTATAACATTACTCCTAATGATAATATAGGTGATATATTTTACTCAGAGTGAAAATTTCTGCAAGTAATTTTACATATTGAGTAATAATATTTAATGTTATAATAATAAATAATAATAAAAGAAATGTTTCTACTTATATAAAATATGGAAAATAATCATCAACTCATAGATATACAGGAATATTCTGAAAACATCACATTGCATAAGTGAAAGTCTTAGGACTTGTTATTATAGAACACAAAAATATGTTTTCATAGATGCTTCACAACTGAGTAACAATGTTATTTACTTATTCTTTGAATTGAGAGCACTATGCTAAGTAGTAGAGAGGAAAAGATACACAAGACAAACTTTTGGGTTTTGAGCAGCTCTTTGTCTTGAAGAGGGTGAAATGGACCAGCAAGCAAATAACTATAATAGAAAGTAATAAATGCCATGATAATTACATACAAAGTACTTATATTTTGCATCATGAATTTTTTTAAATGGGGGAGAAAAAGAATTTAAAATGATAAAATGGTATCTGTTGCTTACACTGTTAAAGAAGCCTCTTGGTTAATAGACAGTTCCTACTACAGATATTTCAGAAAATGTCATCACTTTTTTTTTCCTTTGAACTACAAAGGAGTTTATGTCCAACTGAATTAGGCATGTTGAATATAACAATTGATAATTAAGTAACACCTTCATTTTCAAATAATGCAGTACTAAAGAAGAGATCTATAATTATCTTTTAGCTGAAATTAATGCCTTCATAGTTTTATATCAGATGAGTTGCTTAGCCTAGATGGCTTTTTCTTTACATATGGGTTTGGTCTCTGTGGAAATGTGGGCAAAACCCAAACCTTCACCAATTTTTTTATGGTTGCCCGAAGGAAGAAAAGCATTTGTAGATCAATGAACATATCATCACCAATGTAAAGCAACACATGACACACCCTATGGATGGTAGTAAATTTTATTATTTGGAAATATATCACATTTGAATATAATATAGGTAATTTTACTTATATAAATTTGTCATCTGTAATATTGTATTTACACTTCTTAATGTTAAATAATTGAAAACAGATACATAAATAATAGAGCACATTTTATATTGAGGAAACACATTCCATTTTTATGTGAAAAAATCACACTGAAATACAGTATACATTATTGCTCAAAATCAAGAAGTTCATTATTTCACATAAAGCATCATCCCAAGTTAGTTACTAAGAAGAAAATTTCAGAGTATTAAAAACTTAAAAATCAGAGAGAAAATATGTTTTAAAAAGACTTTAAAACAAAGATAAACTTCTATAATATGTGCATTCAAAAACTTTTCTGTGTGTAAAGGTATTCAGAAAATGTTAAAGGGAATTTAAGGCAAAATTGCCATAGGTTAGTCTTTAACCACTAAACTATAAATCATTTCCTTGCTGTTATTCTCTGAATTCTTGGAGTTTCAAATGACTAATATTTCACAAAGATCAGATTAGAGCTGCATTTTTTGGTATATTTAATGGGATATTGCATGCATAACTTTTTCAGTTTTCCATTCACTAAAGAGCAGAATTCTTGAGTAAAACACTATATTTGTTATTTTTTTCTCTGATATATGTTTGGTCTACAGTGAATTTTTCATGAATATTTGGTAACTATATAAAAATAACTTATCACAATTGACCTTCTGACAGTTCCATAACCATAATGACTGTCTAAATTATAATTTGTATTCTCAAACTTGTGTTGAAATAACTGTGCCATCACAAGGAAGGAATTTAGATGACAAATGCAAAGGGTCAGTTTGCTTAGCATCCTTAACACTTAACACCCTTGTGTGACAATATTACTTGGTAAGGTTTCAACTGATGTAAAGTAAAATTTTCCATCTAGCAATTGCCTACAAATTTTTCCCAGAAAATAATGGAGAAAAAAAAACATACTATTAATAAAAATGAATTTTAGAGTTAAAATGGACTTGGCTTTAAATTCTATGCCCTGATTTATCTTGATCATGTTACTTAAATTTACTAAGCTCTCGTTTTCTCATTTATAAAACAAAAGTAATACATATTGATGATATTGTTGTTAGGATTAAAGTGACATCCTTAAAGTATCTAGTCGTAGGCCTGGTCTATAGAAGCCCTCAGTAAACTTCAGCTAGTAACAGTATTATTGTCATTGTCTCTAAAAAAGCCGTCCAAGTGTCTTAGCTATCTGGCAGTGGTGATTATTAGTATGGGTTAATCATTGTGAGGGATCTGTTTACTACATCACTCATTTATCACTTGCCACTGAGAAAAAGTAGAAACCTCAGAAAGTAAAATGTTTTCTGGTCAATTTTATAGAGGTGAGGAAAAGTTCAGAATGTGAAGACACTCCAGTACATACTAAGTAATCAGGATGTAGCAAAAATAGAACAGTGTTACCATAGAGATAGTCAGGCCAGCACAGGGTGGCTTGCAGAGGGAAGGTTTTCAAGCAGTGGAGGCTGATGTTACTTGCTTAGTTTTTTTCAGAATGGAGAGAAAAGTGCTATGGCAGAAAATAAAATAAGGAACTACTTGTTCCTCAGTACAAGGGAAGTTATTTAAGAGTTGACAACTTTTCTGATTCTTTTGTCAATGAAAAAAAAAAAAAAAACAACGCAATACTTAATTCTGACCCTGTGAATTTCTTTTTCTTGAACCCCCTTCAATCTGTACCCTCAATAAATACTTAAGAATTGAATCCAGCAAAAATGGACTGCTACACACAGCTCTTTTATTATTATCCTCCTATACCCCTTTAGAGCTTCTTAGGTTGTCCTTGGTCACGTGCAAATGAATCACAGGAACATTATTTATCCCAAAGTTAAATTATCATAAAATAGAGAAATCGATCTGATGAAAAGGACCTCTGCAATTTGACTCTATTTTAAGTGTCTAGATACATTATATGATAAATTATTTTAGTTTTTCATTTTTTTCTTTCTTTTAATTATTAAAGATTTGAGGTGTGGAGGCGGAAGACTGGAATACTCTTCTGACTAGCCCAGGAAAAGTCATTTCATCAATTCTTCTCACCATCATTAATTAAATACTTGGGGAGTTAGAGAAGGAAATGAGTAGAAAAAGAAAAGGAGGGGCTGGGGCTGTAGCTCTGTGGCAGAGCACTTGCCTAGCATGTGTGAGGGATTTGATCTTAATACCACATAAAAATGAGACAAATAAAATAAAGGCATGCTGTCCATCTATAACCAGAAAAAAAATTTTTTAAAAAGAAAAAGATTTGAAGGAGATAATAGAAAATTATTTAAGTCATACTTTTTGCTTCTGTGCTCTTATGAGTATAGTTTTATTTTCATCCCTGTCTTTCTAATATGTCTCCCACCCCATGCCTTGGAGTTTCTGAAATGCATATTTTAAGCTCATAATCATATCCCTATAGCAGTGCTGCTATTTTTGTTTCCTGATTCTTACCAGTACTTGCCAGATGTAACCATGAGTGGACACCTCTAATTGTGTTAGGCCTATTCCACTGACTGAGTTCCACTTTGATATAAGTAATAACACAGATGCCATTCCATATTGGTTGTTTGAATCTTTTACCATTCAGAATCATGGTGTTAGATCACTGTCTGTCTTCCTTTCTTCTCTTCTCAGCTGGAGGCTAACACTATGAATAGTCTTCCTTTTCTATTGTCTTTATCCATGTCTTACTATGTTTGTATTTCACCCATGTATTCTTTCTTTAGCTGCAAAGATCCCTCTCCGAGAGTGTTCATTAGGAATGCTCAATAAAACCACCCTTATGGGAGATAAATAATGGTCTACCAAAATCCTTGTTAGTGTTCTATTTTTACATAATGTGCCCTTCAAAATTAGCTTAAAGGAATTCACAAATAATTACTGAGGTTCATTTCTGTCACCTTCTTACTTAGTGAAGGACTTTGGAAACTTCCAGAATGATTCCCTATCATCTGCAGTTAAATGGACAGTCTCATTTGCCACATCTGTATTTTCTTTCCCTAAATTTTTCATGGTTCTCAATATTTTTACTATTAAATCATTGACTTTCAGCAGATAACAGAGATAGTTCAATATTTTATGTAAATCACATACACTTTAGATCTTGTTTAAGCCAATATCTGTTTCATAGAAGGATGCTATGTCTAGAAAGATTACTGTCAGAATCATAGCCTGTCAATAGCAAGTGCAGAGTCAGAACAGGAGACAGGCAAGGCCTGTTGTAACATGCCCCAGGTAAGAAAATGTCCATTTGCAAATTCAGATCATGTAGCTCAAATGTGTCAGTCTGCAAAAAATTTCTAAAGAACTATCTTAATGCCAACAGTTTTACTCTATTGCTCTCTTGGATTTGTCCATATTATTTAAGTAAGTAATAAACCCATGACAACATAAAATTTATATAACAAAATTTTCAGAAAATCACAAAAAGAAGTTTGTACAGTATATGTTAATAAAAATCATATTTTTCGTTGAATACTTATTACAGCTAAGTCACTGACAAAACTTTTATAGTTCATACTAATATCCAATCCTATGCTAT